ACCCGTTTCTAGTCATAAGACGGTCTAAAATGAAATCAAGAGGATTTGTCCCTTCCCCACACCCTTCACCCGAACCCCTGACCCCGCTTGCCCTGAACTTGAGGATAAACTCGCATGTTTCAACCGTTTTGTCCTGAACTTAGTGAATAACCATCAGTCAAAAGACAACCTTACTCGCTCACAGAAACAAGGCTTATATTCACTAAGAACGGATAGAACTATACATGTCTCAGTTTCAGACAAGTGTGGAGAGTTCGTAGTTACCACCAAGGATATTCATAGAACGCTGACGGAGAAACACCTAGAGGAAACTGCAGTTTACCTGCAGATACTCCCAACTAGGAAGGTACGAGGTCAGACAGTGACAGTTACGGAACCCACCTCCATCCAGAATTCACAACTCATAAAAAGATTGACCACTCAACTGGTAGATAGCTCCAATCAATTGTGGAAGAAAGTATGGACACAGCGAGGGCTCGATGATGATTATTTCAGACAAATCAGAGTTCCGGATCATGTTTCTCTTCCAGTCTTATATGTACTTATCAAGACTCACAAGAATTCTCCAGAATGTTTCAGAAACACCATCCCTCTGGAACAGGTGAAAGTACGACCCATTATCAGCTGTGTTGACTCACCCACAGAGAGATTGAGCTGGCTGGTGACAACCATCCTCAAACCATTACTGAAGGAAATACCCAGTCACCTTGGTAATCTCTTTGAACATCTGGAAACTCTTCGTGCAATTCCGAAAGAACAGCTAGCTGGCAGGAGAATCTTCTCGGCGGACATTTCAGCACTTTATACCAACATAAATGTCCAAGGTTGTATTGATGACGTTATAGAACTGGCCACTGAGCACCGGGAAAAACTTGATCTCATGGGACTGAACCTGACTGATGTTCACGAGATCCTATTGCACATCCTGACTAGTTCATACTTTGTGTATAATGGGACTCTGTGGATACAGCAGGATGGCCTTTTCATGGGATTGAGACCGGGACCATTTTGCGCAGTGATCAGAGTGTACAAGTTTGAGAGAAGCTCGGTTTACACTGACTTACATTACTTGTCGGTCTACTTATCTGACTTCTACAAGCGGTACATTGACGACGCCACCAGCACAGCTGTAACAAGAGAAGAAGCTCTAGCACTTGTTCAGAGTATCGCAGACCAGGACCCTGACAAGAAACTCAAGTGGGAGGTAGAGTTTCCGGAGAACGACCAAGAGTTCATCCCATTCCTTAACACAGAGCTTAGAGTGGAACCTGATGGAACTGTGACGAGCCGCTTGTACCGTAAGCCACAGCAGAAAGACATCACACTTCACAAGAATTCATGTCACCCAGAATCTGTGAAGACGAACACCGTGATCAACCTGTATAAAGAAGCGGACAAGATCTCGTCAGGACCTCAGGAGAGAGAACATTCATACAGCATTTTAGACCGTCTTATGACTAGAAACGGGTATCAAACACCCAGAAATTATTCCAACAGACGTCGTAGTAGTATTAGTAATAGAAATAGGGAGGATAACAGAACAGTGCTTAAGTTAGATTTTATCTCAGACAGTATCAGTAACAGAATTAGGAATCATATTAAACAGAACAATTTACCTATTAAAGTTATATTTTCCCCAGCTAGAAAACTAAGAAATATTGTGTGTAATAACAGACCGTATGATAAGAGAACCTGTATTATTAACTCCTGTAAAATTTGTCCTTTATTAATAACTGAAAATAAAGATTGTGAGGCGAAGAACGTTGTGTATAAGATTACCTGTAAAATCTGTAATAATATTTATATTGGTGAGACGTGCAGGAGGGCACATGATAGGCTCGGAGAGCACCTAAGATATGCTAAATTTCCTTTAACTCCTTCTAACACTAGTCAAGCTTTTGCTATTCATTATAACAGTTTACATAGGGGGTCAGAACCCAATTTAGAATTTGAGATTTTAAAAACAGAAAGCAACACAGCTAGAAGAAAGATTGCAGAAGCAATGCTTATTTTGAAGTTCAAACCTAACATTAACAAGAGAGATGAGTTAGAAACAATCAAACGTTTTTTAGTAACAAGTACATAATAAACAGGGTGTAACATATTGTATACTTTACAGACAGGGGATTGTCTACACATATGTAGTGATTTTTAGTGATATTTATAGGTTTTGTTTACTTTCTGAGTACAGGGACCACATCTCACACACGCACACTTCCGCCTCCTATTCAACACACTACCCTTACAACATCAATCAAACCATATTAGGCTCCCACGTTTCACACTTCTCATTGGTCAGTACGATTCCCGCCATTTTCACTCCACACTAGATACATACCTACACACTTCACATCATGCACCTGTTCACCGTTGTAGCACTCCATGCTTCTGTATCATGTGTAGTATATTTAGTAGTAGTTTTAGGAATGTACAGTATTTACTATAAAAGTTTGTCGTCGTATAAATTAGTTTTGTTATGAATTTTGTTATGACTTTTTGTATCGAATTTTTGGATAAAGTTGATTGATTAAAAATAAATTAACGTACACAAATTTTGCCTCAGATATATGTTTTTTACGTTTTGAATTTTTAACACTTGTTTTTAGATCATGAATACGATGTAGTTACATTGAAACGTCGAGTAATCTCCTTTCCCTAATAAGAGCATTTTTACTTGTCGCAACAACCGGGATAAAGATAATTTTACCCAGAATACATTACAACAATGCGACTCATAAATAATACTCCAATCCGGATTTTACATCTATCTTTTGCTTTGTAATTTTCTACCGCTTAGAATCTTCCCATTTTATTTTTAATGTTTCTCAGAGTTTTATGTATTAATTTGGATATTTACCATGTAACAAAGTTTTTGTTCCGCCTTGAAGAAGCCATGGAGGCGAAACGTCGGCACTAACGTGTGTTATTTGTATTCAATTCAGAGGAGATTAGCCAATTTCAATCTAAACTCATAATGATAGACCCTCTGACAAGGGCAAAGCGTCATATATACGCTACAAACTCAAACTAATTCTAATAAGTTGTTACAGGACAGATTACTGTGTAATCTAATTAAGTGAGGAAGACAGGCTATTCGACTCAATTTAATTGACGATGTCAATTCATGGCAGCTCGGCGCGGCACAGTAGCGCATCTCGCCGATCAGTAACGCATCGCGCTACAAGACTCAATGTACAGGGGGGCCAAAAGTCAGTACCCATACGTTGGCCTTTATAGCTCATTCAATGAGTGCCCAATTAAATTGAAATAATTCTTTCTGGTACGACTTAGTACCACAACTGGTTCGAGGAATTTGTCAAATTGAATAATATTCGTGTTCATTTTTTCAAATGAAGGTTCATTCATAATAAAATATTCAAACAATATACACATAATATAGCAATGACCCTATATAAAATCAACCCTTTAAGAATTCAAAAAATTCCCTTAACAATCAAAAAATTTTTTACCCTTGGCCTTGTGGCTCCAAGTTAAGATCTAGACTGTTTATATCAACAATGTTTTTTCTCGCACCTCTGTCTCTACGGAGAGAAATCACTGAATGTAGGTTCATTCTCTCATTTATTTGATAGTCGGATCGAGCCAAATTTTATTGAATGGTGTTTGGCTATTTAAATTACATTTGTCCTGAATAAATGAGAGTTCTAGCTTCTCAGATGACCGAGATATGAATGATGAAGCATTTGTTTGTTCATTACGTGTGATCAGGTGATTGGATTGAGGGCGGATCCGCATTGTGTAATCGCGCAGAGAGCCCAATGACGGTGTTGTAATTGGGTTATCATAACATAACATTATGTTGGATCATGAATGTGCTTTCGCGGAAGATGTACCGCCTAATTATATAATTTTTTTATAAAATTATTCAAACAATATACACATAATATAGCAATGACCCAATATAAAATCAATTTGTATCACGTGGTGACCCCCACTTCGACGATACAGGGGGAGCCGCGCACTTCGTGCGCGGCGGGTCATACAACGTATGACAAAAATCAACCCTTTAAGAATTCAAAAAATTCCCTTAATAATCAAAAATTACCCTTGGCCTTGTGATTGGCTTTGTAATTACCGCCTAATTATATCAAATACATTTAGAATAGCCATTTTTATAACATTTATGGAAAAGTTTGTTTATGAAAAAGCAACAAAAACAAAATACTAAAATTCATTAAGTGGGCGCGAAATTTAAAAAAAGGCAAATGATATTGGCAAATACTTTGAATTTCGACCAGCAAAATTTTATGCTCAATTTAATTTAATATTATTTTGGGCAAGTTTTAAGCAAATTTGTTAATAAAATGTCTGCATTAAAACTTATTTAAATAAACATTTTATAAACGTGATTTGGCCTATTTAAAGCAAAATATTGTTAATTGACAATGTCAACCCAAGAATGCTAGTTTGCGCGGCGCGTCGACGCAGCGAAGTCCTCCAAAAATGTTAATGCGTTGAGTGCTGCCAAAAGCCGGGGACCTAAACCTTTGTAGTATATTTATATTTTAATTAAATATAAATATACAACGTGTAGCAAGCACTTAGCACCTGTATAAACCTTTGTAGTATATTTATATTTTAATTAAATATAAATATACAACGTGTAGCAAGCATGCAAAATTAGGGGTTTTTTTTTCAATTTTACCAAATTTATTTATTTTGTGATTACTGGTATGCCAATTTTTTTAGCATGAGGTGCGCTATTGGATCGCGCTGCGCACTCAAATATACTTTTTGCAACAACTTCGTGAAATTAGATCGCGCGATCGGCGAAATGCGCTACTGGGCCTCGCCGAGCTGCAAAATTGACACTTTCAATTAACGCCATTTCTTTTGTCAAAAAATAGAGTAGCAAGCTAGGCTAATTAATCACCACGGAAATTTTCTCATTTATAAGTTTATAACAGCACCAAATTTATGGAATAGGTTTCTTGAGCAGTCAAATGCACGTGGTAAAATAGGTTCACTAGGTTCAATTAAATCCCGATTGAAGCTTTCTATCATGAAGGCTCAACACCAACCTGACAATATTAACTGGCAGGACTTAAACTTCAACACTTTCCTATGAAAAGACCCCCATTTATATTTATATATTTTAGATTTTACACCTGTCACTCACATCATATATGCACCACAAAAGAAAAAAGATTCATTCAATCATTACATTATACACTCACTCACCACACATGCACACAAAACATTAAAGCAGGTTACACGCGGGTGTAACGTTCACTTTATCCGAAGGGAAAAATAATACTTTACGTAACGCGCGATTTACGTCTTGGTAGCTAAATCATTTAAGTGCTATTTGTCAGAGCGACACAAATGCGCGAGCGCTTGCGCGGCTCACCTATCCAACACTCTTGTTTACATCGTATCAGGCAATGGTTCAGTTTAATTATGGTAAGGGCACAGCCTGTCAAAAACCCTTTTCGCATGATCCGTCGACACCGCCTGAAGGTGAATGCATAATAACGGATCATGAACGTACGGAATCAAACGTTAAATAAGCTTGCAGCTTCCGATGAAAATGTATTCAACTTTGTGTCATGCTTGAATTGGTTTTGGACCTCTTCAATGCTTTTAATTTATTTATTATTGTTATTTGGTATTATGAGCTGATATGTATATATACATACGATATCTAAAATTAAGCGTATAGCGAGCATATTTAACAATTTTTAAGCAATAATGTATTGCGAGCAGCTGTAACTTAAATATCGCATAAAAATCATATAATTGATAATTATAACACAAAACTAAAATTTTATTGGAATCTAGGTTAAACTAAGATAAAATTAATATCAGCCCCTTCGCCACTCTCAGCAGTCAACCAGGGCTCATAAAAGCTTAACAGCGCCTGGGTCCGTTCACCAACTGTGCTAATGTGAGTGGCGGTGTGGTAAAACCCATTTTAACAGCGTGAATATTTATCGAATATAAGCGCGCTAGCTGCTAGCATACTTGTATCATTTAATTTTTAATCAAATTTATTCGGATATATATTTATATTATTGATTATGTATTGAATTGGTGATAAATAATAAAATTGTCTTTTCTCAAAAAATTGTCTTTTCTCATGAGCTGGCACAGAGTTTTTGTTTCTGATTAAATGATAAATTTGATACCAAAAGTTGCCATTATTGCCTTATAGCCTTAAACATTAAAATAATTTGTATATGATCGTAATATAAGCTTAGTCAAAATTTGACACAAGGGAGGACCTTTGTGTTTAGGTTTAAAAATTTGAAAATAATGTTCCTTTAAATCTTAAATATTAGTACTGAGTACTATAAGCTTCGTCTCGATGAGCTAGTTACGATGCATAATGACTGAAAGTGTGAAAGTGATAGACCAAGACTAAAAATTTGCGTGAAAAAAGCATTCGCCGCGAACAAGCGAGGTGCAGCATTTTTAGCAAAAATTGCTACACGGTGAAATTATTTTATTCACATTTTTAGACAACTTTGGTACCAAATTTATCGAAATCGGAGGAAAAAAAAATACCCTGCCAACTCATGTTGCTTATTACATAAAGAACTAGTCTGGAATCATCGCATCAACTAATGATTGATGATTAAAATCAAAAATGATACTCATATATTATGTTTTCTAGAAAGTTAATGTATACAATTAAAAACAGAGAGAATTGATGAAAACATGACTACCTGTTAATTCACAATTTACTGCTAGAGAAGTTGGACTGGCTAGCTTTGGTAAGTTTTATAATTGATGTTATCAGTTTTACTGCCTAGTTTGATACACTCCTTACTTATTTTGCCTGGTTATACAGGGGGGGGGGGGGGGGGGCACAGTGGCGTAACATTGCCTGTTGGCGCCCCCTGCCGAAAAAAGCGCCCCCCTGTTGGCGCCCCCTCCCCTTTTGGTGCCCCTCCCTAAAATTGAACAAATTAGGTGTTTTTAAAGAATACTCCGGTAAAATCTCTAAAAAAGTGTGTATCTAGAGCAAAACGCGCAGTTTTGCTAGTACTTTAGTTAAGTTTTCGAAATTGTCCCACATTCAAACGACGATTTGGCGCCCCCCTAAGACGGCGCCCCCCTGCACAGCGGGGTCAGCAGGGCCTTTCGTTACGCCACTGGGGGGGCAAAACCAGTAGTAGTAGTAAGTCATATTTCGATTGGGCACTCAGTGACTGAGCTATTAAGGCCAACGTTTGCACACTGACTTTTGCCTCCCCCCTGTATGTTACTCGATTTCTTTCAAAAACCCTTGTTGGAATATCTAAACAAAAGGTGAACGAAAAAGTGTATTTCAACTAATATAATCAAATTAGAAAGCACACCCACACTAACAGATTATTTCACCATTTATCTTCTCAGCGAATGTTTATAAGGATGTGAATGCCCTGGTCATGAAAATCGTGAAAATGTGAGTTGCGTGAATGTGAGTGTGTGTGTGATTAGAATTAAGCGCTCTATTAGAAATTCACTGCTTGTTTAACACTCCACAGATCTTTCAACAAATGAACCAGTCTGCTTTATCACGGGAAACTTTTATTTAATGTCTGCTGCTGTTGACTATGCATCCCCATATTCAAATTTATTATTTTTCCTCTAACATGAGCATGTTTTCCTCACTTGACAGTCTATAACTGTAATGTTCTCTACCTTTTCAGTTGTAATCGTGCATTTCCGCTTCAGATTAAAGACTCGTATAAAAAGAAGGGAGCAGGATGCATCACTTGATGCGACTCAGTCCAACACGGATACGATCAAACACACCCCCTCCCCCTCCACCAGCAGAGCTGTCTCTCCTGCTCCTGCTAGGTAAATAGATACACTATTAATATCCTGGAAATTTGAGGCGTTGATTGCTATTGTACAATGCACAGTTATCAATATACTGATACGTTTCCAAATATACCTAGGTTAAAACTGTTATTATACAATATACATGTATTATAATATCTTCCCAGGACGAGCCCAAGTAAAAACAGGTACACTAAGAAAAATAAAGCAGGACATCTGAAACAGAGTAAAAGTTTTCATGTGAGCTTTCTTGATATCCATTTCTTTTTGTTAGTTTTATATCATTATGATTTACATTTGCCACTAGATTTTAGAATGAATATTATTGGATTTGATTCAACAACAATCTAAAGCAGAAGTGTGTCAGGAGTGTCTCAACATGTCTGCTTTTGAAGTTCTCCATATTTTATATTCACGCTGAACCAGTGTTGCAAAGTAAAATGTGTATTTTTTGTACATTTTTAGTGTAAATTGATTTATTAATTTATCACTTACAACAACAACAACAACAACAACAACAACATGTCACAAATTATATTATTATAATAAAACCACTTCTGTGTAATGGTTATTTTGACTTTAAATATTTGAACTAAACATGAATTGATTGTGGGTATATAATAAAATGTTGTTTTATTTATAGCTGGTAATATTGCAGGTGGCACCTGGCCCGAGTCCAAGTATATCGTTTACTGCCTCGTTTGATGACTCAGATGGAACGAGCATCAAAACCAGCAACATCAGAAGAGGTGTGATTTTATACTTAACTTCAATACTGTCAGATATTCCTGGAGGGGAATTATTTAAAGGGGGGGTGTCACGTCCGTCTATGTCCGCTTGTCTCATAGAATCCAAAAAGGACAGGACATAGGCGGACATAGGCGGACATAGACGGACATAGGCGGACATAGACGGACATAGGCGGACATAGGCGGACGTTAATGGACACCTAAATTGCTAAATAAAATGTTCAATTTTTGCTGTTATAGGGGGATCATGTTTTTTGTCCGTTCGGTACCCTATATTTTCAAAACGGACAAAAAATAGAGCGGACAAAAACGGACAAAAATGGAAATAACATTTAGATGCTTCCTCCTCCTACTCTTCCTCCTCCTCCCCTGGGTCTTCCTGATCTTCCTCAGTCCTCTTCCTCCTCCCCTCCTCAGTCCTCCTCCTACTCCTCCTCCTCGTCCTCAGTCCTCCTCATCAGTCCTCAACAGTCCTCCTCCTCCCCAGTCCTCCTCCTCCTCCTGAGTCCTCCTCCTGGGTCCTCCTCCTGGGTCCTTCTCCTCCTCTTCATCCTCCTCCTCTTCCTCCTCAGTCCTCAATCCTCCTCAGTCCTCCTCCTCATCCTTCTCCCCAGTCCTCCATCCTCCTCCTCAGTCCTCCCCCAGTCCCCCTCCTCCTCCTCCTATTCAGTCCTCCTCCTCATTTCTCCTAAGTCCTCCTCCTGAGTCCTCCTCCTCTTCCTTCTGAGTCCTCCTCCTGAGTCCTCCTCCTCCTCCCTCTCAGTCATCCTCCTCAGTCATCCTCCTCAGCCATCCTCCCCAGCCATCCTCCTCAGCCATTCTCCTCAGTACTCCTCAGTCCTCCTCCTTCTCAGTCATCGTCAGTCCTCCTCCTCAGTCCTCCTCAGTCCTCCTCCTCCTCCTGGGTCCTCCTCCTCCTCCTCCTCCTGGGTCCTCCTGGGTCTTCCTGATCCTCCCCAGTCCTCTTCCTCCTCCCCTCCTCAGTCCTACTCTTCCTCCTCGTCCTCAGTCCTCCTCATCAGTCCTCAACAGTTCTCCTCCTCTCCAGTCCCCCTCCTCCTCCTCCTATTCAGTCCTCCTCCTCCTCCTCCTCCTTCTCAGTCCTCCTCAGTCCTCCTCCTCCTCCTCCTCCTCTTCCCTCTCAGTCATCCTCCTCAGCCATCCTCCTCAGTCCTCCTCAGTCCTCCTCAGTCCTCCTCCTGGGTCCTCCTCCTCCTGGGTCCTCCTCCTCCTCTTCATCCTCCTCCTCTTCCTCCTCGGTCCTCAGTCCTCCTCCTCCTGGGTCCTCCTCCTCATCCTTCTCATCAGTCCTCCTCCTCCCCAGTCCTCTCCCAGTCCCCCTCCTTCTCCTCCTCCTATTCAGTCCTCCTCCTCCTCCTCCTCCTCCTCAGTTCTCCTCAGTCCTCCTTCTCATTTCTCCTAAGTCCTCCTCCTGAGTCCTCCTCCTGAGTCCTCCTCCTCTTCCTTCTGAGTCCTCCTCCTGAGTCCTCCTCCTCCTCCCTCTCAGTCATCCTCCTCAGTCATCCTCCTCAGCCATCCTCCCCAGCCATCCTCCTCAGCCATTCTCCTCAGTACTCCTCAGTCCTCCTCCTTCTCAGTCATCGTCAGTCCTCCTCCTCAGTCCTCCTCAGTCCTCCTCCTCCTCCTGGGTCCTCCTCCTCCTCCTCCTCCTGGGTCCTCCTGGGTCTTCCTGATCCTCCCCAGTCCTCTTCCTCCTCCCCTCCTCAGTCCTCCTCCTACTATTCCTCCTCGTCCTCAGTCCTCCTCATCAGTCCTCAACAGTTCTCCTCCTCCCCAGTCCTCCTCCTCCTCCTGGGGCCTTTTCCTGGGTCCTCCTCCTGGGTCCTCCTCCTCATGGGTCCTCCTCCTCCTGGGTCCTCCTTCTCCTCCTCAGTCCTTCTCCTCCTCCTCCTCAGTCCTCTTCCTCCTCTTCCTCCTCCTCGTCCCTCTCAGTCATCCTCCTCAGCCATCCTCCTCAGCCATCCTCCTCAGTCCTCCTCCTTCTCAGTCCTCCTCAGTCCTCCTCCTGAGTCCTCCTCCTCCTCAGTCATCCTCCTCAGTTCTCCTCCTCCTCCTAGGTCCTCCTTCTGGGTCCTCCTCCTCCTCCTCCTCCTGGGTCTTCCTGATCCTTCTCCTCCCTCTCAGTCATCCTCCTCAGTCATCCTCCTCAGTCATCTTCATCAGCCATCCTCCTCAGCCATCCTTCTCAGCCATCCTCCTCAGTACTCTTCAGTACTCTTCAGTACTCTTCAGTCCTCAAAATGTTTGTCCGCTAATGTCCACCAATGTCCGCTAATGTCCACCGATGTCCATCCAAGTCCGCCAATGTCCGTCCGGGTCCGCCAATGTCCGTCCGAGTCCGCCAATGTCCGTCCGAGTCCGCCAATGTCCGTCCGAGTCCGCCAATGTCCGTCCGTGTCCGCCAATGTCCCAAAAAACACGTCCGTTGTCTCATAGAATCCAAAAAGGACAGGACATAGGCGGACATAGACGGACATGACACCCCCCCCCCCCCCCCCCCCCCCCTTTAAACCACTTTGGGGCCCAAACAACAATTTAGTTGAG